TAGTATAAAACGAACATCCCTCTCTGGGATCCTGTTCAATACATAAATGTACTAGTGCAACTAATCGGTCAAGACAAACCGTACGGTTGACACTACAACCGTTCCGATGGGTTGTTCAATTCCATCTAGGTTGTGAACCTACGATTCTTGTTTCGCAAGTAACTGATATAGTGATCTTCGGTACGCCCGATGACGACCCACTTATCTACATGCAAAACAACAGAACGTGGAACTTATTTAACCAAACATAATTCTCATTCATCAAGGAATAACAAGTGTAATATCCACTAAAGCAAAGCTTAAGTATATAACACCAACAACACTAACCCGGTCTGCTTTGAGCATTCTACCCTATTTTTCAATGCAGTCTATCATGCTACCTTGTACTATCACAGACGGGCATGAGAAGAGATGTCGTGCTTTCTTATGGGGAGGCTCCAACGTTTAAAAAAAGATGTATTTGGTTGCTTGGAGGGATGTAAGTAAGCTTAAGGATGAGGTAGGCTTGGGCATTAAGGATCCTCGGCGTATGAATAGTACCTTTCTGATGAAGTTCAGGTGGCTTATGTTGACGAAATCGAACTCCATATGGGTCTGCATTCTAACGGCGAAAAATACGGTTCGGACAAGTTGTGTAGGTTAGATGCACCGGGCTGTAGGCAAGGCTCGGTCCTGATACGTGGTATCAATAAAGTGTAGTTCGATGTGCTGCACGGGATTCGGTGGGTCCTCGGCAATGGGGAAACGAACAGATTTTGGCTTGACCCATGGCTCGGCTCGGAGCTATTGTTGATCAGATACGCGCTTCGTCAGCCGCCAAACGGATGTCATTACATGTCGGTTGCTAACTTCGTGGATAAGCTGGGTCGGTGGTCATGGGTTTATTTCCATGGAATCCTTCCCTCCGCCGTGATCTTACGTATAGCAAGCACGCTCCCCCCGAAATCAACGGCTGGCGAGGACCGTATTATTTGGAAATTCTACTTTGATGGTAGATTTTTTGTTTCCTCCGCGTATAAGGCTCTATCTACTTCCGAAAAAGATCCCGACCTCAATCTATGGAAACTGATTTGGCGATCATCGGTACCACAGCGGATCCGGAATTTTTTGTGGTTGACCGCCAAGGGTCGGCTCCTTACCAACTTAGAAAGGGTCCGACGGTATCTTTCCAGCTCGACGGACTGTGATCTTTGCGGGGGGTGCAAATCGGTACTGCACTCCTTCGCGATTGCCCAGCGGCCAAGAGCTTGTGGTCCCGGTTGCTCCCGATGGGTCTTGATCACGAATTTTTTGAATAGACCCTCAAACTATGGCTCCGTACAAATTTAACGAGGCCACGGATGGGGAAGGATGGCAATTGGGAGATCCTCTTTGCATTTACTGCATGGCGAACGTGGAAATGACGTAATGATAGGGTGTTTACCCAATGCACACCAACTTGCGTGACGAAGAGTATGGAGGTCCTGCGCCTAGCCGAGCAGCATAGACGAGCAACAACGGCCTACGTCAAAGTTGGAGCTGCTAGCTATGAAACTCACTTGATAACTTGGCATCCGCCGAATCCGGGGTGAATAAAGGTGAATACGACGGTGCTTTTGATACTTCCACGGGCTTGAGCAGTGTAGGAGGTGTAATTCGAGACGAGGCGGGTAGATGGATCGTGGGTTTTCTCATGAATATTGGACAATGCACCATTATGAATGCCGAGCTTTGGGGTCTTCTTCAAGGCCTTCAGTTGGCTTGGAGATGGGTTTTCGT